AAGTCAGCGTCAGTCATGATGAGTCACTACAAAGCATCTCTCTGGGAAACAGCAAATTAATATTTATTTGAGCCACAGAATAAAGGAAATGTCATCCTTCTGTTTGTTTTCATACTGCTAACTGCAGAAAGATTCTCATTGACATGCCTAATGCCAGACGTTCAAATGCATCTCATCTGCATCGGCCTATGTTCCCTGCGTGTTCAGTATGTTGACTGATGACTTGATCTCCATGACAAGCTTTCTTCGAAGCCATCTGCAGCTGATGAATTGAAACAGTTGATGTCCTCTGGCAGCAGCAGCATGTAGATAACTCTCACTGATAGAAGAATGGATGAACATGCAGACAGTCTGTGGAGTGTGTCTCACACAGCACCCCGCTGACAGGGTAACGTTACGGGAGGTGCATTCATGTCGCATACACACATGGTCCCCTCCCAAGGGCATATCGGGAAATAACCTAATAGCCAGGAGGGAGATTAACCAATCTCAGTCCATTCATTACACTGACAGAGCCCTGAAGAGGAGAGGTGGAGAGAGAGAAATAAAGAAAGGTGAGTTACAGCCACTAATCTCCAGTGCTTCTCTTTCCCCCGACCTTCACCCTTCATCTCCAAACTGGGTCATGTATATATATGCACGTTTTTGAAAGAAGTCTTTTACGCTTTTCTTACGCATTTACAATTGCACATTTTCCACTGAAAATTTGTCATGATCCTACTGAGACAACTTGACAATAAATCCCACAATTGGCTATTGATTGAAGTGCTTACACAAATCACTGCCAGACTGGTGATGTGTAAAAGTTTTGTTTTGCTTTTCCCACAGATAAAAATGAATGTCATAATTACACAGAACAATGCATTAATTTTGCTTGTTCGTTCTCTTCTAGTTGCAATATTTCTTCATGAGAAGTTACAATCTTTTTAAAGCAACTGTTTGTTTGTCTGTTTATGTATATGCTTCATGTGTACATATGTGGGAGTGTACTGCACCTGTGTGTATGTCATATTTCCCCATGGTTGAAATGGTTGGCATTTGGGTGTCAACGATTACTCCCAAGGAAATAGGTGTCCAAGTCAGTGCTGTGTGTTTGTTTTTCTAATTACCATGGCAGCAGCTGTTCTGATTGGTAGCACTGCCTAATTAGCAGGGGTAAGAAAAGAAGATGCTCAAGATGCCATGCATTTAATAATGTCGCCAAAACAAGTGGCATTATTCTATATAAAAAGAGAAGATGCGTTTGGAATGAGTTTTCAAATTGAGGTATTGAAGCTCTTAAAATGGACTCTCTTAAAATCATTTTTCACCAAAAATCAGGGGGAAAAGTGAACTTTTTTTTACATTTGCTTAAAGAAAATAAAGTGTATTTTTAAGATAATTAACATTGTGTTTCCATTATGACATTTCCATTAGGTCATTATCATTATATCTCTAACTTCCATTCTTCAAGAAACTGTATGTAAGCTTTTACCTTGAAATATCAGTTTCAAAATAATTTTGATGATACGCCGAGTTCTAATAAGGGGAATGGCTTGTGTTGCTTTCCAATGCTCCAAATTAAAGGGCAAACTGCTTCATGGCAGCAACAAATGCACGTGCACAGCTATCCACTTTCATTACAACAGTGGTATTTTTATTACAGTAAATTCCACTCACTTAACTGTAGGGGGCTCTAAAGTCGCAAAGATATACAAACGAATGTGTGTGTGTGTGTGTGTGTGTGCGCTTGTTTATGTGGTTTATGAGGACACAAATTTGTATAATGACATGGGTTTGACAAAGTGAAGGTGATTTAAGAGGATACTTTCTGTGTCCCCGTAATTCAAAAGGCTTAAAAACATGCTAAAAATTTTTATTTAGTTATTTATTGAAAATCTAAAAATGCAGAAAGTTTCCTGTGATGGGGTAGGTTTAGGTATAGGGTTGGTGTAGGGCGATAGAAAATACAGTTTGTAGAGTATAAAACTAGATATGCCTTTGGAGAGTCCCTATAAACCATAAAAACCCATGTGTGCGCGTGTATAAATATATACATTTTAAAGTATCTAAATATCATGGCAGTATTTGTTCTGCCGTCTGTCACTGTCTTGCTGTCAAGCTAATATTTGCTGGACTGCAGACACTGTGCGTCAAAGTACTTAATCTGTATTTTATTTCCCTCACAGTTGTGGTTTATTTCCCTCACAGTTGTCGTATTTTCGGCTGCACTTAGAATGCAAGAATTCATCACCAAAGCCAGCCATTGAAAGAATAGCTTCACTTAATTTCAATTCTGATTAATAATGCATTACTATTTGCAGGCTCATACAGAGGACATGACAAAAAATGCTCATGAATATTTAATTACCCTGAGCTCTTCTTTTACAAAGATGAATCACCCCTGTGCTCTCTGCTGCTGTGCAAATAACCAGTTAATTTTGTGGCTAGTCAAACCCCGCTTGTACAATCATGACGGACATCAGCAACAGATCACATGGAGAACCCATTCCATTATCAGAAAGGGGGACTGCTTAACATGAGCTCAGGAATGAGGACACACATACACAAACATAATTACGGACACAAGTTCCCTCTTGAGTCGAGGACCGGTGCGTGCTTGAATAAGATGAAGAGAGAGGGCGAGATTGGTGAAGGAGAGTGCTGCCATCTTAGCAGCTTTGTGATGATGAAGCAGAAATGAAGAGCCTTTGGAGAAAGTTTAGATTTGGATTATGTTTACACTGTATTATTCATACTGCACCGTGATTACATTGAGCAAATTTTTTTTGTTTCTTTGTTTGTGGTTTAATAGCTAACGCCTATCTTTAATTTTTAATTGTATAAATGTGCCTTTATTGCTTCTGTAGTGGTGAAGGTTCTTCTATTGAACACCACAGGAAGCAGAAATGAAGAGCCTTTGGAGAAAGTTTAGATTTGGATTATGTTTACACTGTATTATTCATACTGCATCAATTACATTGAGCAATTTTTTTTTGTTTCTTTGTTTGTGGTTTAATAGCTAACGCCTATCTTTAATTTAAGTCGGCTATGGGGACATGCATCCAGTAACCATTGGAGGCAAAATTGTGGGTTCTTTGTGCGCCATCGCTGGTGTATTGACCATTGCGCTGCCCGTACCTGTCATCGTGTCCAATTTCAATTACTTTTATCACCGGGAGACTGATGGGGAGGAGCACGCGCAATACCTCCACGTTGGCAGCTGTCAGCATCTCAACTCCACAGAAGATCTGAAACGGACTCAGAGCACGTCCTCCCTCAGTAAATCAGAATATATGGTCATAGAGGAAGGAATAAATAGCACTTTCAAACAGCCAAACTACTCCAACCAGAACAATCAAAACTGCGTGAATATTAAAAAGATTTTCACAGATGTGTAAATCATGTACAGTGCCAGATAGTCTTACGGTAATCACCATGATGGCACCAGTGCGAATGCGAGGTGCTGCGTTATTAGGGTACAACAGGGCTAAAAGCCCCCATTTGAGGGAAAATTTGTTTTTTTGTTGTTTTTTTTCAGTCGGGTGCCAAAGTATATGGCAGTTGAAAAAAGATTTATTTTTACTGAATATAGATGGGGGGATATATAATTTGTATAAAGTAAATGCTACAAGTAGTTTGTTTTGATTAAATAAAATATATAAAGGCAGCTAGAGGGAAGAATTTGTCACCATATGCAAATACTTTTGATATAGCAAGATATTTTAGAGTAACATTTAAATACATACTTCAGCAAATGGTGAAGCTGTTTTCAGTTTATTTACTCGCTTTTGGCATTTCATGGAGCTACAGTATAATTGCAGTCAGATTTCATATTGTAACTATAGGAGTTAATATAAATCCACTTTGCACATATGTAACAAAATTATTCCCTCCCAATTACAGAATACAATTAAGTTGCACTACAGGTAATCTGCATTATCATCCTTTACCAACTTTGCCAGAGTTTTTGGCTATTCAACAGGTACTGAAAACTGAAAGTCTTGAGATATATAAAATAATTGTAATGATTTCTATTAGCTACATCAATCTGAAAAAACAAAATAAGTATTTTGTTACTGCACACCTTAAGATTCAGAAATCTGAAGAAAAACACTTCAAAATCAGTCTTTTGTCATTGCATTATGAATCAGGACACTTGGAGACAAACAGGTGTTTAGGAAAGTACTGTGGTAGTTTTTGTTGCTATTTAGTGTTTTGGGAGTATGTAAATCACAAGGGCCTTTTACCCTGGGGGGCCTTTAGATCCGTTGTACCCTACATCTTATGGACAAGCCAGCATATTACACTAAAGTAAAGCAGGGCGCTTTTTTTGGTTGAAAGGTGCCAAACTCCGAATCACGTGTTGCATTTGTCTACAGCACAAAGGATAAGGTTCAGGTCAGGGACTAAAAAGAAGAAGCACCCATACTGCAAATATTGTGCTCGTAAGTCTGCGTTTGTTATCAGTGTTAACATATAATCATCATAATACGTTAGTATTCGCAATATCTTACGTTTTGTGGCAAAGTGAAACAACCGAATATGTGTCGCTGTTAATGTGAGCAAACTGAAGATAATGCTGTGTTAATCATATGTATTTTGTTGAATATACGGGTGATTCTTCAATTAGGGGAACTAGATGGAAAAAAAATTTTAATAGATTTTAACATGTCTCTTTAATTGCTTTTTCCTCATTTTAAGAGTGCTGAAATGCTAAATTTGTCAGAATTGTTTCCTACCCATACTTTTTAACATTTCTTCTCACGTAATTTATCAAATGCATTCAAAAAGGAATTTTTTAATTAAATTGCTATTTATGTGTAAAATTTGCTAATATTTTATAACAAAGAATTACATGTCCCCAATACTGCTGTCATTTTTTAAAATTAATCATTTTTTTCTTTTTTTTCAAGAGAATTTTTCTTAGTTTTGAAGGTACATGACAGAATATCATTAATTTTAGGAATTAAAAAGAAATCATGACCTTAGAATAGGTTTATATTAGGTGTCCTAACCAAACATTATTATTTGTCAATTTTAATTCTGAAACGATCCATTTTTGTATTTTTATTAATTATGGCAATTGGCTCATAACTGGCTTAAAACTTTTTTCTCAAGTTTATTAAGGCCATCTGATCTGCATTCCATGATAATTAATATAAATTAACATAGATTTCAAAAAGTGCCCCTAATTGAAGAATCACCAAAACATCTCATGAGTGCAGACTTCATTTAAACGCAATGAATGTGGGGGAAAAATACTATACGTTTTGTTAATAATGTAATCAAAACTTTGTGTGTCTATTGAATCTGACTTGCTTGTACCAAAAGAAATTGGTTAATACTAAATGAAAGCAAATATATCGTTATTTTGTGATCAAGTTGTGCGAAAATGTAGTCATCTCCAGATTATGTAAAACTCAAATCACGTCTAGCCTAAAAATAGAGCATTCGAGATTTCCCTCAAAGTGAGACGTCACAACGCTTCTGGATTCTGGGGGAGGAAAGAGGAAGCATCTGAAAAGGTGGCTCGGATCGGGGGGGGAAGCATGTCGGGGCACATGGCATGGGAGACTACCAGATCAGAGACTGAAAGACTGAGAGATCACGCCTTGAGTCCGCCTTGTGATGCAGTCTCCATGGCGACTACAGTTTCCTGGGTAACTCCCGTTAATGTTACCATGACATCCTCCCCTGTTGTCAGAGCAACGCTCCAGATGGTTCACAAAGCCTGACTGGCAAAATAGAGCGCGAGAATTTCCATCAGAAAAGGATCTCGATCCTTTATTGGATGTATCTCTAACATTTTACAGCCTTGGTCTAGCATTTAAAAATGATGTAAAACAGCTTCTGCAAATAATTTGCATAACCCTGGGTTTGCAAGCCATCCAGAGCCAATGCACTCCCACATATTTCCCTTTTTTAATCTTTTACAAACGACTGAATGTGTTGCATGTGCAAAATGATTGATCTTGACAAAACGGACCGAAAAGCATTCTGTGCATGCAAAATGCATGCATGGCTTCGGTGCATGAAGTAGGTTGTGGTGGATTGTTATTGTCGCCTGTGGCTCGGTTGCTTTCTCTTTGTAGCTGTCCAAGCATGATTGTGTATAGGTTATGGGCTCACTCAGGCATTCCCTATTTGGTTCTCCCGTGGAGTAGACAGGACGAGAGGTGCAGCGTGAGCTGATTACCGGAGGTTTCACGCTGACACTCCCGTCGATGGGTGTTAGAGGCTGCGCGGCAGTCCGCCAGACACTTTCCAAGCGCTCAGTCAGAGACAATCATTCTCAACCCGTAGACCTGTGCTCTTCACTCACAGTCATCTGTGCTCTCCGCCCTAGTCGTCATTTCACACTACCTACAAATAGAGCAGCAACAGAAGACAAGCATGGCTGTTATTAAATTCATTCATAAAGAAAACAAGCACAAACAAATTATTTTTTAATCAAAACAAATCTACATGTAATTTATTGCTCAATTGAATCTAATTACATGCACACTTTCATAACACCAGATATATGTGATGCTTATTTGACTGGTATGAATCAAATAGGTACTTGCTGACTTGTTGCTCAGTGCTGCCATCAAGTGACGCGTTCGTGCAACAGAACAATCACTGCTCTGTTGACAAAGTATTCCTGTGCAAATCTGGGAAGGCCAGGTTTAACTTTGCCATCTAGACCCTAGAAAGAACATAAATTAAATTAACATGAAATATCTGGTAACAATGCTATTTAGATGTACTAAATGCTTTTATTTGTCTAATGCAGGGGTTTTTGATCTTTTAGATGCCATGGACCCCCAAATGTGATCTAACTCGTTTGAGGGACCCTCATGCTGAAATTTAAAAGGCATCTATAGTTTTTTGGATAAAGAGCATATTTATATTGTGAAAAATGTATATTATGAATATGTCTGCACTGTAAATAATTTTCACCTATTTCAACCTATATATACAGTATATATCCTACTTAAGCTCAGTTGCTGCAAGTATAAAAAACTTTGTCGTCATTTGAACGTAAATTACATTAAGCCGTCATTTTTACAAAATAAAATAATATTTAGAAAATGTTTAACTTCTATTAAGTTACATTATTATATTGTATTTATTTTAATGAAAGGACTGAACTGTTAAATTTAATATTAATTATTTAAATTACATATTTATTTACTTTTCTGTAGGCCTATTTATTAGAATCAATTTGTATTTATTTATTTTGTTTTAATATTTTATATTATATTATTTTATTATATCATGTTTTTATGATATACATACAATTATTTATGCATTTATTTAATTTTTAAACCTTTAAACCATTGTTTTTTAAACCCCTTAGCAGTCCCTTGTGGCCCACTGGTCTAATGTATGTGGAAAAAAACTACCAAACTAAATTTAGCCCAATTTATTGTTCCCTCCATCCTCAGATCTTTAAACTGTTTTCCCATCACTCTGACACATTCCAGCATTCTTGTGACTAGGAAGGGCTCGTCTGTGATCAGCTGTGAAGGATGATTTCTTATTATAGTGTATGTGTGTTCGTTTGGTGCCTGCGCTGACTCTCACATTTGCTAGCTGTTATATCCGAGGTGTTAACACAAAGAGCTTGCTGTCTGAGATGTTGTGGCTAGCATGACACCAGGTTGACATCTTCATCCTAAGACTCACAAATCCATTAACTCTTTCATAAAGGGTGCTTATAGCTGTGCCTTCTTCGACTAAGTTAAGTGCCTTTTGTGTTTCTTTCAAGGAAACAACCTGGACGTCTGTTCACTGGAATTCTGGAGTTTGCTGACGACAGATATTAGGCTAATATGAATGAAGAAAACACTTAAGGTAAACCTCTTGTACTTTTTCTCGATATTGTTTTGAAATTCAACATTATTGATGTGCACTAAAATGCAGATTATTCTTAGCATAACTGTTTAACCCTAACTGTTCACATACAGTATGCTGTTAAAACAAGAAAAGTTAAAACCTTTAACTTTAAATTAATGCATTTATATCAATTGCTCTACTATTCAAAGCCTCTTTATTTGATCAAAAAACAATAAGAAATGTATTATTGTAAAATATTATTACAATTTAAAAATCTAATTTATTCCTGTGATCAAAGCTGAATTTTCAGCATCATTACTCCAGTCTTCAGTGTCCTTCAGAAATCATTCTAATATGCTGATTTGCTGCTCAAGAAACATTTCTTATAATTATCAGTGTTGAATATTTTTGTGGAAACAAAATGAGTCTTTGATGAATAGAATATTCAAAATAACAGCACTTATTTTCAAAAGAAATTGCTTGTAGCATTACAAATGTTCTTAATTTCCCTTTTGATAAATTTTATGCATCCTTACTGAAAAAAAATATTAATTTCTTTTTACATAATAGGAGTTAATAAAAAGCATAAAATATATAGGGCATATAGCTGTTGTTTTATTTCTGTCCAGATGGATGCTTTTATATTGGCATTTCTGTTGTGGAAGATAAATGGATTATTTGGCATGAGATTGTATTGTGGTGAATGAAATGTATTTATGCATCATGGTATTGATTTGCAGATGAAATGCCCTTTGCCATGCAGAGCGAAAAAAAAAAAATCTAACCTCTAATTCACATTAGATGAATATACAGTAATTTTATGGAAACACATCTCAGATTGTGCTGAACAAAAAAACGTGCTGATAAACAAACCGGATCTATCAGAGCTGTTCTGGTTCAAATTACGCCCTTCATGTATACGACTACAAAACCGTTTTCCTTTTATAATATGACAATACAATTATAAATTGATGCCCTTTTACAGATGATTATGCATACACAACATTTTTTGTTTACTTAACCTTGAAGGCTCCAGTAAATAGAGCAGATTCTTTTCATTTAGGCTTGTAATTCTGCCTTGATTCTTAAAGCTCTCGGCGTTGTTGGATTACTGGAGCAATTTACCACCGTATTTGTTTTAGGTGTGTGTGTTTGCACTCACAACGTGTTAATAATCTCCTCTAGTCATCTCGCACTCGCTCTTGAGTGATATAACTGTTCTATCATTGTCACCGGAGGTGCTGCGTCTGCTTCAGTTCATTAATTAGCTGGAGACAGAGGTCAACTGAAAGGGAGAGTGAGATAACTGTGACAGAGAGACATTATAATGCAGAGCTGCGCTCAAGTAGGCGGTATAATATATAAAAGTCTTTCAGCTTGAAAGATGTGTTTCCCTCTCACTTGAGCGTGTGAGTAAACTGCTTCATTTCATCTGTCACATTCCAGCAGCGTAATACGTTTGCGTGTGTCTGTTTCTGCAGGCTTCGGGGGAGATCCACGCAGTGCCTAGGACCAACGACCAATAGAAATGGATGCCGTTAACCTTTCTGCTACCAAAACAGAACTGAACTCACCTTCAAATGACACAGAAGATGCCCGCATATCTCTACTGCCACTTCTCATTTACGTCTGGCTGAATCACCGTGAACCGCAACACTCCAGAAGTGACCTTTTTTGGGTGAATTCTGCAGGTTCACATTTAATACGAAGAAAGCAATACGAAGAGAACTGAACTGTTGAACTGTTGGACATGAACTGTTGGATCATCTAAGAGACCACTGCCAGATATTAATCAAGTTGTTTTCTGGTGTCCATCATGTATTTACAGTTTAGCTGTTGTTGTGCCAGATGTGATAACTATTTGACCATATAAATAGTCGGAAAGATATTTTGTCTCATGTTGCCTATATAATCGAATGATGGAATCGCCATTCTGAAGTACTTCATTCCATATACTCTCTAGAAAGGTATTTAAGACACTTAAGAAACTTAAAAATGTGTGAATGTCACTGCATTCGAACAAAATATCAAACCATGCACACTCTTTAAGCAAAGCATGTCACAAAAACATGAAACAAAAAAAGTTTCTCAGGTTTTAAATGATAAAATAGTAGATGAACTGTTCAAAACTCAGTTTTCAACTACAAATGGAAAACTTTATGCATTTTGGCTGTACATTTACATGACAGTAGCATTTCGGAGGCCTGAAAACATGAAAAAAATGCACATTTTAGAAAATAAATCCTACAAAAAACATGAATATGTAAAATTGCACATGACGTGTTCAGTCTATATGTGACCCTGGAGCACAAAAGCAGTGTTAAGTCACTGGGGTATATTTGTAGCAATAGCCAACAATACATTGTATGGGTCAAAATTATAGATTTTTCTTTTATGCCAAAAATAATTTGGATATTAAGTAAAGATCAAGATATGCATTGCTAAGGACTTAATTTGGACAACTTTAAAGGCGATTTTTCTCAATAATTTTATTTTATTGCACCCTCAGATTCCAGATTTTCAAATATTTGTATCTTGGACAAATATTGTCCTATGCTAACAAACCATACATCAATGGAAAGCTTATTTATTTAGATTTCAGATGGCGTATAAATCTCAATTTTAAAAAAATTGACCCTTATGACTGGTTTTGTGGTCCAGGGTCACATATGTCTGTGTGCATGTGCGTAGTGTTTCTTCACAAAGTGACATCACCAACTACTGACCTGGCATGCATAATACAGCATTTTTAGTAATTTTCGCGGATCCGTGTGAAGGGGCATCATTTTGACAACGTTGTCTTCTATACACAAGACAAAGTAAAACTTTTCTGATTTTATTACATGTTGTGTAAACATACTCAAAAATTATTGGAAACTTTCTGGTTATCCAATATAAACTAATCATTTTTATAGACCTTATGGAGCTCCGCTCCTTTTCATCACTTCACTCGTTGTCCTCTGTCTTCCGTTTGTATTTCTGCAGCGTGAATGTCAGTTCATACGAATTTAAAAATGAGCCACTCATTTTAAAATCTTCTTGGTTCACTGACATTTGACATCCGCTTCAAATATTACAATGCATGTGATAACTTTTGTTAACTCACAATAAGTAAATCCAATTCACCAGCTAATTACACTACAACAGAGATGCTAAGGCGCTACCGCAAAACCGAAGTTCAAAGACAACATTCTAAAGATGGCTGTGCATTTGTTTCTCTATAAGAAAACTAAAGTAAGGTCTAAAGTAGGCCTTAATGTGATGATCAAGAGGCTCAACTGTGTGACTTTAGAGTTCAGCTCTTTTGTAAAGGCCTGTTGCACAACCAGGTGTCAGGTTTGTGACTTCATATATACCATATATATACAGTTGAGCCTCTTCTATTACAGACAGAACACCAAACAATCTTTTCATCTAAGCTCAAATGTGGAGGACTAAATATTTGTTTTATCAAGCACCAGAGTACAACGGGGTAGCATTTGGCCCCTAAAGAGTAACTGAGGGAGGGAGTCAGCTAGTTTCAGATCTACAGCGGTCCCATATGGTTGGGATTTAGCCAGAGCAACCCACAGAGCCTCAGAACGGCATGATTTCACATGAAACAGAGAACATATTTTTCTGTACACAACATTACCACTTTATGCTGCATCGTGTTGTGAATTAATCTGAAAAATATATAAACTATAGGCAGAATCACTTAATGGCTTAATGCATAAACTGATGTCTTCAACTTAGCTGAACTTCCTAGTTGTACTTGAGAAGGTAAACGAAAAATGGATTTATAAAACAGCATATCAACCACCCCAAACACCCTAGCAACCACATACCATAGCAAAACCCTAGCAACCACTTAGACACAACCTTGTGATGACCTAGCAACCATATACTATAGCAAAATACAAACATCCATACAGAACACCCTAGTAGCCACCCAGAAACACCCTAGCAACCACCTAGAAACACCCTAGTCACCAACAAATACGCCCTAGCAACCACATATGGTAGAAACATCTCAGCGACCTCCCAGAACACCCTAGCAAACACATACCTTAGCAACAACCTAGTGACCCCCCCCCCCCCCCCACCCCCCAACGCAAAACCCACCGACCGCAAAACCAAACAACAACCCA